CTTAATTCTTTATTAGATCACTTTAATATTGGGCTTAACTTTAAGATAGCATTTATACACAGTTAATTACATATGTCGGCCCATCATGACAAATTAAATAATTTCCCAACAAGTGTCCCTTTTTGAAATTTCGCATAGCATATTTAACCATTATTTTGTCGGTACACACAGCTTGAGAAAGGGCCATCCACATGTTTTTCGATCTCTAATGGTCTAATGTCTAAAACATAGCTAGTACTCCCATGTCTTTATATCAAACTGTTGTGCCAACCACTTCTTTGCAAATGAAAATGCCCTTACATCATTATCAATGAACAATATATCATTGATGTAAATTATGAGAAAAATTATTTCATTGTCATTTATGCGCTTGTAGACACAAGGCTCATCCAAATTTTGATCGAGACCGTAAGTCTTAATGGCTTGGTCAAATCTGATATTCCAGGACCTAGATTTTTGTTTAAGCCCATAGATGGACCTTTACAAACTACATACTTTACTTTTCATGCTCTTTTTCTATAAATCCATCTGATTGCATCATATAGATATTTTTGTCGAGATGGCCATTTAGAAAAGCTATCTTGAAGTCCATTTGTCATATCTTATAGTCATAATGAGATGTAATGGATAAAAGAATTTGAATAGACTTAAACATAGCTACTAGAGAGAGGTTCTCCTCGTAATCAATGCCTTCTCTTTGGATAAAATCCTTCACCACAAGCCCAACTTTAAAGTTTGTGCCTTCGTATTATTCCTCTATTTCTCTTGTAAACCCACTTATACCCTATTATCGGGTTTAACACCTTTAGATGCATCTACAAGATCCCAGTCTTTATTGGAGTAGATGGACTTTATTTTTAATTTCATAATCTTTCCATGATTTTTCATCTATATCCTCTATGACTTCCTTAAATGATATGGGATCCTCTTTTTGATTAGTAGTGATTGCCTCATACTCTCTACAGAGTAAGGACATAGATGGTGGTCTAATAACCCTCCCACGTTGCCTTTAACTGTGGAAGTTCTTGATGGCCTATAAACTGGAGGTGAATTTAATTCTTCCACTCACTGTACCTTCATTTGTTGGTAACTAACAAACAATAAGGTTATGTTCCCCTAAGATTGTTATTCCCCATCAATTGGAATAACAAGCTGAGGTGTTGCTTGTATATTTCTCTTACAAAAATCGACTCCCATGAAATTTTCAGGTGGTAATGAACTATTGATCACAAGTTCCACACGAATCTCTAAAGTAGATGAGCTAGGAACGCTTCCATTCATTTCCTTCAGTAGACCCTATCCTTGGACTCTCTTTCTCTAATATACCTGTCTTCTAAGAATGTTACATTTATANGACGGTAAATATTATTATTTTATCCTACAGTGATTGCCTCATATTCTCTACAGACTGATGGTGGTCCACTCTGCCTAGGACATAGATGGTGGTCTAATAACCCTTCCACTTTGCCTAAACTGTGGAAGTTCTTGATGGCCTATCCAACTGGAGGTGAAATTGATTGTTCCACTATATTACCAAGTCCCTAATCAACCGTCTCAGTCACTGTACCTTTATTTGTTGGTAACTAACAGACAATAAGGTTATGTTCCCCTAAGATTGTTATTCCTCATCAATTGGAATAACAAGCTGAGGTGTTGCTTGTATATTTCTCTTACAAAAATCGACTCCCATGAAATTTTCAGGTGGTAATGATCTGATCTGTTGATCACAAGTTCCACGCGAATCTCTAAAGTAGATGAGCTAGGAACACTTCCATTCATTTCCTTCAGTAGACCCTATCCTTGGACTCTCTTTCTCTAATATACCCGTCTTCTAAGAATGTTACATT